TGCCTGTGCCGCCCCGCGTCTCTCGTCCCCGGGCTCCGTTGCCACCGCACTGTGCCTGTCCTACTGCCCTAGCCCGCAGCCAGCGGCTCGACACCCCCAGACGGCAGCCGGGCCCCCCGCGCTGAGCCGCTCCCCGTGCTGATGCCAGGACGGGCACAACGCCGGCCGGCGATGGAAGTGGGGCCGCCGCGCCGCAGAGAGGGAGTGATGCGCCCCCGAAGAGGAGGGACAAAACGTGGCCGGAGGACCAGGACTCCCGTGCCCCGGGGCACCCTGTGGGGCTGGCAGGAGGAGTGGGGCCAGGCTCCGAAGCAAGGACCGTGATTCCACAGCCATGAGGCTGGCCAGAGGAGTGGGGCTGCGCCCCTGGAGAAAGACAGAGGCTTTGAATCCTGGGATGCTCCCCTTCGACCAACTGAAGCGGGATGCCATAACCCAAGCAGCAGACTGGGGCCCTGAGGCCCTGAAGGGCTTCTAGAGGCTGGTCATATTCCCTGCACTCTGCAGCAGCTCCTCAGGGCTCTGGGTCCCCCATATTTATCCCCCAGGCCGTGGGCAACCCAAGATTGTGTGGTGGAGGCTGTGGGGCACACATCCTGATCCCCTCAGGACTGCGTACAGAGGGCAGCCGGGCTGCCCCTGCCTCTTAGTAAATGGCTTTTATTTTTGTATGGATGGCCACATGGCCTGTTGTATGTATTGTGTCTCCTCGGGTCCTTCCCTGCAATCACCTACCCCTCTGTGCCCAGCACCTATGCCATCCACTTCTGCCAGGCACCCCTCTCACCCTCCTGCAACCCCTCCCCACAGCTCTGCTGCCTGTCGGGAGATGCAGGGTACAGGATTTGGGACCTGGCCTCCGGGGCAAGGACAGGGCAGACACTGCACCTCATCTGAGCAATAAAAGGATTCTGTCCCAGAGATGGATGCCTCTCTTCATGGGCTTGGGGGCTGGGATTTGGCTCTGCCCAAACCTGGGGAGAGATGGGGGCAGTGCCATCTGGGTGGGGACATTCAGGGATTAGATGAGAGAGCTGGGAGAGGGCCCTGAGAGGGGACTTAGAGCTCAAGGAGTGAACTGTGCAGCGCTAGGAGCAGGACCCTGAGGTGAGATGCCACTGGCAGAGGGTGGGAGGGTGTCATACAGACACTAAGATGGGAGTTGCTGGGACTTGAGGGAACACCACTGCTGGGGTAGCTAACCACCATTCCTTGGGAAGCCAAGGTTCCACTGCTAAGTGCCAGAATGGGCCCTTGATGACAGCTTGCAGCCTTCATCTGGGGAGAGGTAGGAGCTTTGTGCCACCATTCCAGGAGACAAGCCCAGAGAGTTTGGGTCATTTATCCTGTGGCAATCACTAGGGAAGCCCTACCCAGGAGGCTGGTGGCCTTTGCATGATGATGGCCATGGGTTGTGACAACTCCCTACAACCCAGAAAAGCAGGAGCTGGCTGACATTGGTGGTGAAGGGCTGAGCAGGTGGGACAAGTGAGCAGGACAGCCACATGGGGTGGAGGGGTCCTGCAGTGCTGGGGAAGGGTGCTGCATCCTGCACTGTTCCTTGCAGCATCATCCCAAGCAGTACCCAAGGCCAGCACTGCAGGCAACAGGGATGCTGTGAGAGTATGCAGAGTGAGACCAGGCACTCTGCTCCTCAGCCTGACACCATCTCAGGGCTCTGCCTCTGCTTTTTAAAGCTTCAGGTGTCCCCTGGTAGTTGCATTTCAGGTTGTGGTTGTGTCCCACTCCCCCTGCCTATTTTGGGGCTTAGGATCTGGCTCTATACAGCAAGCTCAATACCCTGGGACCATGCTGGAGTCCCCAGGTACCACCTCAAGTGACATCCTGGCTGGGGGATGAGGTGCCTAGGGGAGATCGGTGGCTGGGGGTGTGATGGGGACAAGCTTACATTGGGGATGCCAGGGCAGGGTTATGCCTAGGTGGGCAAAGCAGGGCAGACTGGGAGGATGTCTATGCACAGTGGAAACGTGGTGCTGAGGGTCTGGCTAATGGGTAACCCTCCTGTCCTCTCTCTCCCTGCACAGAGCACTCAGCCGCTGCGAAGACAGGGGGCTGCTTTCCCGGGCGGGCACTGGCAACGCTGGAGGACGGTGCCCAGACGCCACTGTGGGCACTGCGCCCAGGCCAGCGAGTGCTGGCAATGGACGGGGCAGGCAGGCCCACCTACAGTGACTTCTTGGCTTTCCTGGACAAGGAGCCCCGTGCCCTCACCACCTTCCACGTCATCGAGACACAGGAGCCACGCCGGCGCCTGGTCCTGACACCCACCCACCTGCTCTTTGTGGCAGAGAACGCTTCGGCGCCCACCGCCCACTTCCGTCCCGTCTTTGCCAGCCTCGTGCTCCCGGGACATTTTGTGCTGGTGGTGGCTGGGGGGGGCAGCTTGCAGCCTGCTGAAGTGGTGCGGGTGCGGCACCGGAGGGATGTGGGAGCCTATGCCCCGCTGACACGCCATGGGACACTGGTGGTAGATGGCGTGGTGGCCTCGTGCTTTGCTCTGGTGAAGGAGCAACAGCTGGCACAGCTGGCCTTCTGGCCACTCCGGCTCTACCACAGCCTGCTGGGGTGGCCAGAGGTGCAGGGGGATGGCGTGCACTGGTACTCAGGGCTGCTCTACCGCCTGGGCAGGCTGATCCTGCCCCCTGACAGCTTCCACCCACTGGAGATATCCCAGGCAGAGAGCTGAGGGTGCACCACAGCCCCAGCCAGCACAGCTGGTGGAGATGGTGGCTGCAGGGTGACTCACTGGGGGCCAGTACCCCCTCCCAAAGCTGGGTGCCCATGGGGAGCTGCCTCCAGCCCTCTGCCTGCTTGGGGTACAACCGTCTCCTGGTTGGGGGGCACCGAAGCTCCATGGTGTGCCTCGTCCATGTTCACCACCCCCTCCTCAACCCCTGTTCCTGGGGACAGGAGGGAGGCATGAAGGGTTTCCCCCGGGACAGGGGGCTGCCCCCAGCTGGATCCACATGCTGCTATGTGTGTGTGTGTGCAATGTGTGTGTGTGTGCAGAATTAGCTGACGGAGGTCTGATAGACGAGTGGGAGGGGGAAGAGGAGAGAGCCCTGGCTGCTCCACCGGGGCTCCCACCGTGTCTGCACCCAGTGGAGAAGTTTTGGGAGAGGGCCCTTTGCCAGGCAGCCTGGGTGGGAAGGCAGGCAATTCTATTTTCAGCTCTGGGACATGGCGGCTGCGAGGAGGGTGACCCAGGTACTGGGACTGTGCCTTGTTCTTAGCCCAGGTGCAGGGGGCACCCAAAATAAGCAGGGTGGGGGGGTCTGGCACAGCTCTGGCACGAGACCTCCGAGCTGGTGACACAAGTGCCACTGGAGTGATACTGGGGAGTGAGGTGCCAAGTTCTGCCCAAAGCCAGCACCAGAGTCACCCATCTGGGCTTCCTGTGGGGCTGCTGTGACAGCATGGGGCGCTCTGGCTGGCAAGGGGGGCTGTGGAGGCAGACACACGGGCAGAAGGGTGCAAATGCCAGCCAGGCATAGACACACTGGTAGGAGCAGGGGTGGAAAGAGTCAGGGCTGCAGCCCCAGAGTGCTGGGGCCTGAAGAAAGAGGCAGAGGAGAAAACCTTCCCAGCATCTGGCCTTGAACTGGCTCAGCCCAAAGTCTTTCCCCCCCCCAAAGCTAAAAAAACTCCTCAAGCTTCAGACTCTGGCTGGCCTGACCTCCCCAAGCCCCCAGTACCCCAAACCCTCAGGGTAATTCGTTGCTGCTCACCCACTTCTGGGACCTGGGGAGAGTCTCAACAGAGCTGCAGCCACAGTTCCCCCACTCCAAATCCTAGCTAGAGCCTCAGCCTCCCCTAGCTCCACATAAGTGGAGGGGAGGGGACTGAGGGAGGCTGTGACCCATGTCCCCCATGTAGCACCACGCATCTTTATTTATTTATCTGCTCTTTGTATGTACCATAAATGGGAGGCAGCGTGGGCACGTCCAGGGTGAGAGGAAAATGCTGGGTGGGGGTGGGAAATCGTTTG